GGCCCTGCCGCCGGCAGAAGGAGGGGGTGCAGCCGTTTCTGGGGCGCTATGAGCCGTGCGGGAAAGGGGAGAGCCTTGTGCTGAGGAGCGCTGGCTACTAAAGAGAGAAGGAGCTCAGTCGTGCGGGTAACGGAGGGTTCTGGCTGTATTTGTTCCTGAAATGTTATTAACTTAAAGATATAAATAAGTTTTTGCATGCTTTTTGAAGCATGAAATTATTCGATGCACTTTCCTGATCTTTGGAGAGCAGTCGCGTAGTTTTTGCTCTTCGATGGGAGTGGGTTTGGAAGGTGAAGAGCAGCCTGCCAGCCTGGGGGCTGAATCCTGCGGAGGCCCTGTTGGTGTTTCTCCCCTTGGAGACCTGTTACCGGCAGAAGCAGTGACGCGGGATTGGCACTGGTCACTGGACAGACGCCTCTCTGTTTGTTGCAGGGACTGAGTGAATATAAGAGAAACTTCAAATGGAAAACCCCGGAGTTCTGTAGCCCATCCCAACAGGAGAAATCCTTGTGGGCAGGACTTCGGTCGGATCAGTTTGGTAAGCACCCCTGAAAGCTGCCCTCTTGATTTCACACCCTGGCGCTGTCCGTGCCGGCTCTGTAAGGGTGAGCCGGGGCTGCAGGAGGTTTGCTGTGAGTGCATGATCACAGTGAACAGGTAGTGTTTGCAGTTTGTACACTTTATGCAGTTAAAAGTATATTTCTGGTCATCATTTAGAATATGCATTATAATGCCGTATTTTTTCTGGCTACACCGAAACTTTCTTTTAATGTTAGTCTTATTTATATAAAACCTGAAAAATATGTGGTTTCTGACATACAGCATAAGCTGAGTCCGAAATGTGAAGAACAGATTCAGTGTTAACCTATATAGGATGTGTTGAAGGAGGCATTGGTTTACCTATGGTGCATGGAAACAGCAAGTGAAATTCCATATGTAAGAGGAAACTAGTTTAGGGCAAAGTTTGATACAAAGTAAAATTTTTATGAAGCTCTACAGGAGCAGCTAACTAGGGGAAAAAAAAAAGAAAAGATGAGTTTGGGATGCTGTAGTCTAGGAGTTAGGGGTTGTAGACAGGAAAACTGTAGCAGGAAAATATAGGATTGGAAAGTAGAAGACAAAGGAAATAACATCTGGATTGAAAGGCCCATAGAGAGTTGAGGAAAAGGAGTAAGCTGAAGAGCAATGACAAATGCAGTGCTTTGAAAAGGAGCAGTAAAAAAAAAAAAGTTATTGTAGTGACACAAGACAGATTAACAAAATTGTGCAATTCAGTGCAATCACACTATGCAGTCTGTATAATTGGAGTCCAATATATTAATTCCTACAACATGAGAAGTGTTCTATATTATGGCCTAGTAATAAGGAACCAACTACTGGGAGTATGGTTTCTTTTCAGTTGAGATACTAGACATTTTAATAAATAATTTAATCTTGCCAAAGATTATGCTTTATATATATTACTGCTTTCTTCCATTACTGCAAAAATAATGTATTTCTTTAACCTTGCTTTCCCTAGCACATCTCTGTGAGTGTGCACCTGTATTAAAGAGAGTAAATTCCACAAATTATTAAATACCCAAACGTCCAAACACATTAACTTATTTTTAAAATAGTAAGCTAAGCTTCTTTTCCAGCTGAACTAAACTGCAAATTTTACAAGACTTGCAATAAAGTAATGAGTTAGCAGTACAGCAGTTTCTCCTTCTCCTCATGTTGTAGTGGTGTTTTTGTGTGTGCTTGGTGTAGTTTTATTCCACCTTTGCATTCATTTTCACTCCCACCTCTTTTCAATCCATTTGACCATGTGCATCTTCAAATGTCACTCTTGACACCTCATAGGACTTACATATCGTTTTTGATCATTAACTTAAACTTATGGTTCTTCCTGTTGAAACACACAGTTGCCAGTTTTAAGAATAACTTTGAACATCACCACACAAAGTTAACAGCTGCAGGTGCTCCGAGTTCCTTCCTGCTACTTTCCCAGAGTTTTTCCACTGGAATTATTTCCTGCCTCCTGTATGTGTATTTCGACATCCAGACATTCTACATACCTTTCACTGCAGGTTTTTCTCTCTTTCTACGTTGCTTTTTACTGAGATAGAAGTTTCTCTCTCTCCCAGAAAGTATTTCTCTTGGGCAGTTAGGGGCCTTCACTTACTTGTCCATTGCAGTTGAGCGCTTTGCAGTTGGATTATGATTTCACACTTTTAATGTGTTCAGTCATTCAATCCTATTCTTAATATAGTGGGATAATTTTATTTTCATCTGCATGTGTAAAGGTCAGCAATTCTTTAAAGTAACTTGACACCTGGTTTTGTTACAGTCTTTTTACAATTTTGGAAATGTTTTTGTGTTCGTACTGTAAAAGTCACCAGCAGTCTGTGATGGTTTATATCACAGTTGTATTAGATGGATAGGGGTCTGTCACTGTCCTGTCACAGTAGGTGAGAACCTGTTCAGCAAGGTATATTGTGCATGTGTAGTGAGAAGTGTTTGTGGCAGTCTTTATCACTGCAGGTTGATTATTCTGTGTCTGTGTTAACCACATTCTTTTCACTGGCTGTCTTAATTTTGTTGTTGTTATTCAACTCCAAGAATCAACTTGCAAAAGGTTGTCCTGTGGCCATATTTGCTTTATGGAGTTTTATACAACATGGTCCTGGAGCACCATATTCCCATCTCTCTTTAGTGGAAAGGCATTTGCAGACAGGAGAGAAGACAGAATTTCAGAGCCATGCCCATAATTCATAGGCTGTCATTGCTCAAAGATATTAAAATAGTTTTTTCAAATAATCAATTGTGTGATAAACTTTCAGTTTATTCTTGTAATAGAGTGATATTATGTCTTCAGTAGAATGTTTTTGTTAAACCTAATATGTCTTTTTCAGGAATCACAAGAGAACCAAACTTCATTTCCAAGAGAAGGGTACCTTACCGTAATCCACAGATTTCAAAGTCCTTTGAATGGACAGGAGATTGTGATTTGAACGACCCACTTGAAACTGAAGCTCTTAGGACTGCGGAGCTGCACACAGACCACAACAACAATGATATGAATCAGGACAAAATTGAAACACCGGAGGGACCCAGACTCCCCCCAAAAGTTCAGTCACATTTGGTAGATTCTAGAAGTGAAACAGCTCTTGCCCTTGCAGAAAACAACCTGAAGAAATCATCCTCTGCAGCTCTGCCAAATCAAAATGGAGCATTTGCATCTCCAAAAAAGGAACATGAAAAAATGGGTAATGGGGTAAGGGAAGATTTTTTTTTTTTTTTTTAATTGACCAGTATAAAAATTACTGATCTGATATTTTTAGTAATTTAACGCACATACACCAGCTTCTGTTGCCTAACTCTCTCCTTAGTTCTGTATTTTTATGTTCTTCTACATTGTAGCTTCTTTGTTGGGAGAACACGCTTGGGTCAATAGGACTTTGCCCTTCATTTGCTATCACTATTGATTTCAGTTAAACAAGGATTTAGCCAGTAATATATAGACTTTTTGTCTATAATGAGAAAATTTATATTGCATTCATTTAATTCGTACAACGAAAAACCAAAGCATTGGTTTGAAAGCATGCACTGAAAGATTCCTGACTTGCGAAATATAGGAAACGGAACAGTTGGTGTTAATTTTGTTTTTCTTCTTTGTGTTGTCAGCTTCACAGAGTCCTTCAGAGGAAGGCAGGCATGAATATTTCACATTTAAATACTTTCCCCAGAAATTCTGAATATCAAAGCCAATTTGTCTGGAAGAGTCCTCATGAAAAGTCACCAATACTTGCAGCTGAGCAGGTAACTTTAAGGAATACAAAAAGTAAATGAATACTTCTTTTATTTATCAGCAAAGTTGCTTACTTTCCAAGATTTCCCTTCTGCCTCTTTGATGGGGGGGTCCAAGCTTTGGGGGGGGTCCAAACATGAATGGTTTTACGTGTTTTTGGTTTGGTTTGGTTTTTTTCCTTCCAATATACAAAAGTGCAGTATAGTGAGATTTGTTTCCCTGTGATTCTTTATTGTAGTCAGGTCTATTTACTTGTTCTCATTCTCCCTGGTTGTATTCTGTTCTTTCTAACAGGGCCATTTTCTTCTGTTTGCCTTAATTTACCTTAGGAGCTCTAAGATCCTACTGAATGTTACTTTTCATTTTATCATTTTTATGTTATCTAACACATAGCTGATAAACAGCTAAATGTTCAGGTGTTCTGTATTGTAATAACAAGTCTTGCCACTGAAATCATACAGGTTTTGCTGTTTATTCTCGTGGTTTGCCACAGTTTCTTATTCTCAGTCTCCATCTCTGTGTACATACACTTCTAGGCCCTAAAGTGCATCTTTGTAGTGTTTTTTCTTGCATGAGAGCTGCTTGTATTTAAAAGTAGAATGTTCTGATTGTAAGACACTCTTGTGGCATTTTATTATATATCATGAGTTTTTGGACTTTGTAGGATTGGAAACGCTGCTATTTCTAATCGGACCTCAAAGAGTAACTCTGCTTGTGAGAGTGCTTTGTGTTTTCAATTCATTTTTACTGGGATCAGGACTTAGGAGACTCAGTCCATCTTTTGGTTATTTTACAATATAAAACAGGCACTTTTGCTTTTATTTTGTCTTCTACTTCTTCACTAGGAGCATCTACACTAATGGGATTATTACAGATGGTGCGCTCTCTACCCACAGGTAGCAGATTTGTACAGTAACAGCTTTCAGAGGCAATCGGTGTCGGTAACTAGGATCAGTCACTATAAAACCTGTTCCTGTCTTTTTCTTGTTGGAATGCTGAGGAGGTGGACTTACTTTGAGATACTTATTTCCCAGCAGTCCCTTGTCAAAGGAAAACTCAATGAAATGTGTGACAATAGTATAGAAGACAAAGGACCATTTGAGGAAGAGGCAGGTCCCAGAATGTCACCTTATGGAAAAATTCAGAGAATTCCCGATTGTGCTATTTCAAAAGAAAAACTATGGAATCTAAAATAGCAAACTTTTTTTTTTTTTTGTACAGTTTATACAGAATAAGATGCTGTAAGAATAAGTCTGTAGGCACTATAAATCCTTAGATAAATAGAACTTGGAGAAAATCTAGATATGTATAAATGTTTACAAGTTCTAAATTTAAGATTATAGTTTCATGATAAAAATTAGCCATATTAACAAACTGATTTTCTTTTGATGCTATTGATATGATGGAGAATATACTCGAATACTGAATAATGACAATACCTTTCCCTTGAAGAGATTCTGTGAAAATATCAAAGTTATCCAAGTTAGGTTATAAGTCAGACCTAAACTCTAATAGCAAAGCTGGGAAAATGTATGTGTGACATATGGCATAGTCTTTTAATTCAGCACCCCATGAGGACATGATACCTGACCACGTATTAAGCAAATTCTCTACCTTGGTTTATAATACAGTATTGGTTGGAAACCAGTGAATAGCTCAAATTACCAAGCCCTAAACATCCCGTTCTAAAACACAGGACAGTTGTCTGTTACATGTAGACTGGACGTGTACTGAGGACTCATAGGGGAGTTTTAAGGCGTGTGTTCCTACATACAACTCTGAAGGTAACCTGTCTTCCCAAATGAAGAAAGCCCCTGTTAGTGAGCTTTAGTAAGAATAGTGTTTGACTGCAGGTTTAACTGTGTCTGATTTAATAACTTCATAATGCATTTTTATCAGATTAAGTTTCTCTTCAATTTGTCCTAATAGAAGTTAATTAGTCTGCACATGCTGTATTTGTACACATGACCATCTCGCTGCTTATATGTGAGTGTATTTGCATCAATTGGTTAACTGATTTTGAAAATTTAGTCTTAAGGTAAGTAAATCACACTTTTTTTTTTTGTTTTCTTTCCCCAAAGGTTATTTGCAACACAAGTAAATCCATACCTCCGTTTAAATCTCCTGCAATTACTTCTGAAACTGCAAATGAGACAAATTTCAACGGGTCTCCTCCTGTTAAGGGTCCACAAGAGAGAGGTGGTTCAGAAGAGAAAGAATTTCTGGTTTGTGAACAATTATTTCCCTAAAAGAAAGACATTAGTATACTTCTATAATTTTGATTGTTCTTTTTTACAATGTAAGGGTGGGTTTATTTGGAAATTTTTAATTTATATTTTACAGCTGTTGCTAAAGATGCTGCGCTCAGTGGTTTTGCTATAAGATTGAAAATGACACTGTACAGCTCTGTTTGCTGTTAGGGGTTTCTGTAGTGGATTCTGTAGTTTCTGTAGTGCATTTTTCTCAGTTTACAATGAGTTTTTAAGTGTGTTTTTCTTGTCACCTTAATTTATGAGTTCTCAAGTGGGTCTTTTTTTTTTTTTTTTTTTTAAATTGAAACTTTGGTTTTAGTCATTAGGATAGTTTCTGAAATCTAAATCTCTGATATGTACTCTCATTGGTACCAGTGTAGTTTCTTGGTATGCAAGAGGGCTGGATGGGAGGTCTGGAACTTTTTGTATCTCATAAATCAGACATAGTTGAAATAAAAAAAAAAAAAAAAAAAAAGTATTTTGACCTGTGGAAGATGACGCAGTTGGAACTGGCTTTCACCCAGTAGTTGTAATTTTAAGAAACGTGGAGGAAGGGTTACAATTCATTTTCCTTTGCCGTGATAAGTTGTAAGGTAAGTGATTATATTTAGCACAGGGTTATAACACGACATTATGTAGCCTACATAGGCTCTGTTACTCAGTTCAAAACATTAAAATGTCTTTTATGAAAGTAATTCAGCTATTTGAGGCCTTGCATTTCCTTGTCTTGCCGTTGACTTGGACAAACTTAAGTGGACTTCTAGGAAACATGGCTATGGCTGTTTTAACAGATACATGTAATGAAAAAGGAATTGTTTCAGACTGAGACCTCCTGAAAGCAGGTGACAGCAGTTTAGACTGCGTGACAGCTAACCTATTTTACAAGGTAGACATATGAATACTGTTTTTGTAGCAAGCTGCCAAGTGTAGTGTTGTCTAAATTCCTGCAGGTTAGATAACCATCCTTCAGGTAGCAGCCCACATATGAGTCTCTTCAGTACCCATCTCTGTTCCCTGATAAAACAGACAGAGCCACTGTCAGACAACGTGTTCACTAGGAGCATAACTGAGCAAAGCACGTACTTAACATGAAGTGCTTGTGGCTCAGTTTAAGCTGCTGGTACTTTGGGGGTTCTTAAAGATGATTGTTGGCTTGAAGCGTTTATCATTTAAAACTTAGACCTGCCCAGTAGTTTAAATCTCATCTGGGAATGAGGAATTTTATGTTTCCTTTTGCCTTTTTTAGCATATTTGAAGAAAACTTGAAAGGCTTGAGGCTTTCAGGAAGCACTTCTTTGTTTTTAATATTGGAAATTCAGGTTATATTTTCCCAAGAGAGCTAATAAAGTGAAGGAAGAGAAGGCATAAGAAGGGAATTTTGTTGAAAGTGTCTAAACCACTTTTTGTTTATACCAGTATCTCTTCTCTGATTAATATCTTGAAAAAGTTTTGGGGGATTTTGGTGTGGTGGGCTTTTTGTTTTTTTTTTTTTTTTTTTTTCCTTTTTTTTTTTTTTTTTCTTTGAACTTAAACAACATCTGTGAAGATCTCTAGCAGAATCAGAAATCATGCATGAGATTTCCAAGAGGATAGATTAAGCAGGAAATGAAATATCTTTGATGTGAAAACTGAGCAAGTCAATCTGACTCTTTATAAACCAGAATGGCAGCAAATAAAAAAATTGGCTTTCAGTTTATTATAAATTTTTATAATATTTATATTGCTTGACTATAAAGGTAAGAGTTTTTAATTTTTTATGTGTACAAATTCCAGAAATGTACATGTTAAGTCTTACACAACTCAGGTTAGAATGCACAGGTATTTTATTATTTTATTTCTGTGTTTCATGTTAAATTTATTTTGTAAAGCGTACAGAATGGATTATCTGACTAACTGAATGTTGCACTTGGAATCTTAGCTGTGGCATTTTGCTAGTTTATTTTTGTATTAACAAAGGAATGTAATATTCTTGTTTGTATTAAATATGCAAAACAGCTAACACTAAAATAAAATTAACTTTTTGCAAAAGCTTGATGTCAAAAGGAATATGAGGGTTTTCAGATTGTTAGCTAATGTGGTATTTTTAAAATTATCTTTGCCTTAGAGTAAGAGGGAAGAACCGTTTCAAAAGCCAGCAGAAGATGCAGCAAAACAAGGGAAATCAGAACAGAAACATCCTAAACAAAAAAATAAGCAACATATCAGTCCAAAGCCCCTCTCTTTACCTACAAGTCGTGGGTATGTATAAAATAGGAAAACCTAGCCTAGTGAGTAGGTGTACAGCAACCTCATTTTAGAATGATGGACGATGGACCTTTAATCATGCCATGCTACAGCTGCACATGCTCCCTTGCAGCGCCGGGGTTGAGCTTCCTGTGGGTACATCTGAATCTGGTGTTAATTTCCATCCCCTTCTTTTGTCAGCAGAAGTGGAAGCTGTGTAACCACACTCATTCAGTTGAACCTTCTGATGCAATAATAATATTATTAATAAATTTAACATGAATTAAATTAACTTGGTACGGTGCTGCTACTAAACTTTCAGCAAGTTCTTTGGAAGTTGTCATCACCTTTCAGACTGCTCTCCTGTGCTCGCTCTGCACCTTTTTCTAGTAGGTACCACCTTCTATCCTAGAGTAGCCAAAGCGAACAGATGAGGTAAAGTGAAGTAAAGAAATCTCTCCTATTTAGGGTAACCTGACAAGCATGGGAATCAAATGAAATTGTATATTACTGAGCCCTATAAAAATACCTTTTTCTTCTGCCACATTGCAGAAACTAAACTCATGTTTCCATTTTCTACATATCTGAGGTATGCCAAGAGAAATAAGTGCCCGGAATGGATGTAGGTTTTAAAATGCATAGATTAATCCATTTCTGCTGTCTTTGTGCTTAATGTATGTCCCAGTGCTTGCTTGTAGTCATATGACTTTTTGGCAGTGTTAAGGCGTTAGATGGCAGTGTTTTTGGCAGTGTTAAGGCATCTTTAGATGGGAGAGGAGGCTTACCTAGGTCTGAATGCTGTTGGATATTGGGAGATAATTACAAAATGATCACCCAAAATTCTATGAAGTAAAATTGCTGTATGAAAAGGTGAGTGGATATAGTGTAGTAAAAACCTGTAACTCTTTGGTTTTCATAGCTCTTTGATGTAGTAGATTGTAGTCAATTTTGCAGTGAATAGTGTGTAAAATTCTTGATCATTTGCTATGACCTTTTCATTTAAGGATAAGTTTCTGCCTTTTATGCCTTCTATGTAGTAGAACAAGTCAAAAGTTTCCAAAACAGTTACTGGACAAATAGCTGTCAAAATGTGCAAGTTCTTAATATGCAGACAGGACTGTCACTCTGTGGGCAAGCTGCATTGCATGGCCTGCTTTTGCAGCAGAATGACGGGGATGAAGGCATAGCAGTGGTATGTTTTTTGAGCTAATCCATTAGTTTTGCTACCAAAACTGAAGGAATTCTGTCAGTTTCAAAGAAAAGGACATAGG